GCTATTTTTTGGTTGCAGCCGTCATTGTTTGGCAGGCCCGGGCTGGATTCGAACCTGCCACCTTGGGTGTACGTGGCTGGCGCCTTAGCCACTTGAGCCATAGGCGCCGAGGTGGAGCCTGCAGTTATTAAGGCTATTGCCTTTGATTGAATTTCTAGAAAGGCTGTTGTTCAAGTGCATATATGTACTGCTATATGTATGCAGAAATTTCCAGAAGGAATTGGCAGAAACTTTTTTTTTTTGTAGAGACAGAGTCTCACTTTATCGCCGTCACACAGCTCACAGCAACCTCCAACTCCTGGGCCTAGGCGATTCTCACCTCAACCTCCCGAGTAGCTGGGACTACAGGCACCCACCGCAACACCCAGCTATTTTTTTGTTGCAGTTTGGCTGGGGCCAAGTTTAAACCTGCCACCTCGGTATATGGGGCTGCCACCCTACTCACTGAGCCACAGGCGCCACCCAAAATTGGCAGAAACTTAATAGTGGTTCCCTTGGGGAGACAAATAAGATATTTCTAGTTTTTGTTGTTTTTCTTCTCTTGAAATTACATGTTCAGAGTTAGCTAGCAGTAACATAACAGAGAATTACACTTTTGTTCTTTTCTTCTTTATATTTATATATGGTTTAAAAAATGAATTTTTGTTAAAGGAATTTTTTTAATAGGCTCTGGACTCCAGCTTAACATAAATCTCGGCTCTATCTATTCCCAGCTATGTGACTTTGGTCAAGTCACTTCATTTTCATGTAGAATAGGGGTTCTGAGGCGGTAGGACCCCCACAGCCTGGGGAGAAGTTCAAGGAACAACCCCCAGCTGCTTCTCCTCCTTTAACAACAAACATTGTTTTCTCTGCCAGCAGTCACATAGCCCATGCATACTTTCCTTTTTATCTTGCCAGCAAGCAGCGCAAGCACGTAGCTTTTCCTCCCTAAGGTTAATCTTTACCCCATGTACTAAGATTCACATCATTTCAGCTCGGCACCCATAGCACTGTGGTTACAAGCGCTGGCCACATACACCAGGGCTGGCGGGTTCAAACCCAGCCCAGCCCTGCTACAAACAACAATGACAACTACAATCAAAAAATAGCTGGGCATTGTGTTGGGCGCCTGTACTTCTAGCTCCTTGAGAAGCTGAAGCAAGAGAATCACTTAAGCCCAAGAGTTTTTTTTATTTTTTTGAGACAGAGCCTCAAGCTATCCCCCTGGGTAGAGTGCCATGGCATCACGCTCACAGCAACCTCCAACTCCTGGGCTCAAGCGAGTCTCCTGCTTCAGCCTCCCAAGTAGCTGGGACTACAGACGCCCGCCACAACGCCCGGCCATTTTTTGGTTGCAGCCATCATTATTGTTTGGCGGGCCCAGGCTGGGGATTTGAACCCGCCACCTTAGGTGTATGTGGCTGGCACCTTAGCCGCTTGAGCCACAGGCGCCGAGCCTAAGCCCAAGAGTTTGAGGTTGTTATGAGCTGTGACGCCACAAGGGCAACATATGTGACTTTACCAAGGGCAACATAGTGAGACTCTGTCTCAAAAAAAAAAAAAAAAAAAAAAAAAGATTTACATCATTTGGTAACCTTGTTTAAGATACTATAGAAAAAAGCTGTTCCGAGCAGAGCCTGTGCAGTGCCTGTGGCTCAAAGGAGTAGGGCTCCGGCCCCATATGCTGGAGATGGCGAGTCAAACCCAGCCCCGGACAAAAACTACAAAAAAAAGAAAGCAAGCTGTTCCCACAGTTCAGTGCTGGCTGCAGTCTTATCTGCTCTAGTCCTTCTGCTCCCATCTTTTACTCTTGTGTGTTTTATTTTCTCATTGCCCACAATTCCCACTCAGGTTTGTTCCCTCTCACACTAGTTCACAAACTCCTAGAGCCTCAGTTTTCTTATCTCTAAAATGAATATGGCAGTACCTTCTTCTGATGTTTTGGTGAAAACCTGGCTCACTCATTCAATAGCAGTTTTTATTGCAGTTAGTTTAAAAATTAGTAGATAGTATGTATTGATTGAGAATATAGAACAATAGGTAACCTCAGAGTGGAGTAGGAAGCAGTTGGCTTTGGGGCTAGAAGCAGGATGTCGGCCAGATCTACCATTCCTCCTCAAGGGCACACTCTATGTCTGTCAAAGGTGGCTGACTGCGTCTGCCTAATGGCCCTGGACAAGCCTCAGGCTGTGCCCGTGGACGTCCATGTGTGGCAGATTGCCCAACGTGACTATAGCTGGCACTCTACAACATCCCAGGCGAAGGGTCCGAGCCCCCAGACCAACAAGGAACTGGGTAAGGAGAGAGCACAAGATGCTACTGCTGGCAGTGGGCTGAGATGGTAAAAACTTCTCACTCTCATAGTCACCTCTCGCTCAGACCCTACCTCTTGATTGGGAGCAGAAGGGGCCAATTAATTTAGCTTCATCACTTCTGATTTAGGAAACTTTTTCCGGAGCCTGTGGGGACCTTATGCTGGCTGGGCCCAAGCGGTGAGTGTACCTAGATTCCTAGGTTTCCCCTTCCCTGCAGTTCAAACCTCGTAGGACCTCTGCCTGAGTCCTGACCCAGAGGACTCTTCCAGAAACCCATTACCATGGACTCTTGCCATTACCACCACTGCTCCAGCTGACCCTAAAGGACTCTCCTGCCATCCCAGCCCCAGTGGTCTCTTGTTACCCTTCCCTCTGCTCCCCATGGACTCTTCCACCTACCTACGCTGTCACCGCCCTGACCCCAGTGTACCCTCCTTCCCACAAAGGTGCTCCACTCTCCCCGACAGGTGCTGTTTAGTGCTGACCTGCGCCAACCCCACTGTGCTCGGGAGCCACCAGCAAAGCGCAGAAAGTGGTCCAAAGGGCCTGAAGGCTAGGTGGGAGCGCACTGGGCAAAGGAATTCCTGAAAAGACCTTTCCCCTCCATTTCCCTTTGCTCTCTCCCCATCCCCACCTAGTCTCATGTTGGGGAAAGGGATCCTTGCAGCTACCTCAGGTACCAGGCACCCCCAAATCAAGCAGTCAGTTTGCACAACAAGGTGGGGTAAAAAATACTATTTGGAGAGACAGCGCTCTATGGTTTTATCTTATTCCCTTTATTATAAGAAGGAGCAATAAAATAGAAACATTTGTATGGAAAATGCAGTGAGCAGTGATAGGGAAGGGGGCGAGGAAAGGATGGGACCGAGTTTAACTCCCTAGTTCGGAGGGAAGGGGAGCAGGCTGCCCCCCAACCCCTCCCATGCAGGGGATCCTGGCTCTACATCCAGGGCCCTAGATCTGGGGTGGCAGTGTGGGGGACAGTTCTGGGCCTGGCTCCATGCAGCAATCTCGACAGCAGCAGCCTGGCACGGGCCCTACATGGGAACAGAAAACAGAGTTGGCTGTTGGGCAGACCCTCCACTCCAGCCTGAGTCCTTCTTGGTGGACCACCCATGCCCTTCCAGAGAGCCGCACTCCTCACCCCCAGCTGCTGGTGTCAGCAGCTCCCCATGGCTTGCCATCTGTCCCTGCCCCTCCTGGCTGGTGCCCAGCTGTAGCTTCCTCATATGCCGTACCACAGCCGTGGCATTGAAGGCTTGCTGTAGAAAGAAAGGGGGAAAGGACTTTTGAGAGAGAGGGAAGTTATGGAGAAGGGCTGGCAGTAGGATTCTTGGCAATGGTTCTGTTATGTTTTTTCAGCTATTAGTTATTGATTCCACCAACACCCCCTCAAACCTCTATAGGACTTTATTAAGTTATATTCAGTTACATCTTTTTTTTTTTTTTTTTTGAGACAGAGCCTCAAGCTGTCCCCCTGGGCAGAGTGCCGTGGCATTACAGCTCACAGCAA